CCCCAAAACCCCAAAACCCCAAAACCCCACAGAGAAAATATGAGACGAGATTTAGTAATGCAATAAGATATTTTACTAGTCAGAATTAATAATTTATTAACTAATAAAGAGAGATATCTCACTATGGACGAAGGAGGAGATTACACTGGGAATAGTCTACAGACTACATATATTCAAAGATTTTATGAGAAGTTAAGTGAAGTCTTCTCACAGTGGATTCCACTCGAGGATGTATACTATAGAAATATTGAATTTGGGGAGCTGGAGTTTGGAAAAGTCAGCGAAATGGCAAAGTGGCCTGACCTCGGATTCTTCAATATCACAATTGCAAAGAATGGAGGCCCTATTGGTAATATAGACTTTATTAGTTGATTATATTATAGCTTTTATGCTACAAGACAAAGTTTTGATGATTGGAGGCCTTAAGGACATCAAGAGTGTGATTTTTATTTTCTCTTATTACGGAAAGCTAATTAACACAATTAATGTAAAATATCCATTTCATTTAATTTTACAAGGTGGCAGCTAAATTAAAAGTAAACAATGAGAAGTTAAAATGGGCTTGCTTTGAGTTCACATAGGATGAAGACCTTCTTCTTATCACTACAGATGGATATGCCTATCTTATTGATCCTAAAACTGGCGAATTTAAGGACAAGCCTGTTTTATTAGGCGCTGAATTCGCAATGAGACCCATTTAAGATGCTAAGCTATTTGAAAATATCTTGGTTTTCAGAAACTCAATCAATCAGTTCTATTGGATACCAAACATTACACAGTCAATGGTGGCTTCCAAATTTGATTATATTGCTAAGCTTCAAGATGCTCAAATCCATGATTACATTATTATTCCAAAGGGTACTAAGGGTGCTAGTGCTCTAGAGCTTTTAATCCCCGATCCAGAGGAGGGCTTCCATGTTATTAAGGAGAATAAGGGGCAAAGCATGTATTTGAGAGATCTATCTTAGATGTCAGATGATAGAATACCTTTTGGAAAGATTCAATTTATGGCTCTTAATTCAAAGAAAGACCTGCTTGCTCTTTACACTGAGGCAGAAACCAAAGGTAGAATTATAGTAATGAAGTCAAACTATCAAAAAGAGTTCAATAGATTCGACACCAGACTACTAGAAGCTAATGCACTACAGTGGTGTGGAAACGATGCGCCTGTTTTGACATTTATTGACAAAATAGCAATTGTTGGTCCTTAGCAGTTTGAAATTTTGGATTTCAGAACAAAAACTGCTGGAATCAAAGTAATGAATGAGATTGATGGTCTTAGAATAGTATCATCTGAGAAAACATATTTCTTAGAGAGAGTTCAACCAGTCTTGCTAAAATCTTTTAAAATTGCTTCAATTTCACCATCTGCAAAACTGCTTAATGCCATAAAATCAGTGGATCTCAATATTCCCAGAGCAGATGAGATTATTAGAGAGTTAGGTAAAGATTTGATTACAGGAATAGAGGATCTCTTAGAAGCTGCAACAATGGAACATTAGAACATTACTGTACTAAAGCATTTACTGAGAACTGCCTCTTTTGCTAAAACTTTCGTTGACCCAACTGAATATGATTCAAACAAGTATGTTAATATTGTTAAGCATATGATTGTACTCACGAAACTTAGAAATTCTCCAAACGTAAAATAATATTAAGATAAATCCTATTTAGTGTGGAAGAGCAATAACCTACAAGTAATTTGAAAAGTAGAAAGCCAAAAATATTCTGAAGCAACTTCTTAAATTTAGAGATTACAAACTAGCCTTGCAAATTATTGAGCAACTCAATTTAAAGCATGCATCAATGGTTTATGAGGAGTGGTGTCAAACAATGGTAAAGTATTCAACTTTGTAAGACAATGAACTCGAGATCAGACTATAAGAGAAATTTGATTAATTAAAGATCTAGATAGCTGAGGAGCAAGGAATCAATTTAACTTCATTAAGCTTCTAATTAGGGATTAACGCTGCAAATCTACCTACTCTTGCTATGTCTGGTGGAAGAACTGGATCAATGATGCCTAGTGGAATGACTCAAACTTAGTAACTTGCTCATTAACTAGGAAATAATATAAAGCTTAATATTGATTTCACTAAGCTAGCTAAAATTGCTGACTCAAGAGGAAAGAAAAGACTAGCAAACTTCCTCATCCAAAAAGAAAAGTCAATTGTTAAAAAAATTCCATTTCTCTTAGAGGCTTAGCAATATGAAGAAGCTTTGAACTTTGCAATGGAGGGTGGGGATCCTAACATCATCAACAAGGTTTTTTCTGAAATTCTGAAAAAATTTGAGGGAAATAACAAATAGGTAATTCAAAAGGCAGCATCAATCCCAGATGGACTCAGACATCTGAGAAATTTTGCCAGAGCAAGAAAGGACGAAAATCTACTATCAGATATTGCTATAATGACAAGCAGTCTGAGATAAAACCAAAACTAAGTTTAAGATATGAGTGGAGTTATAGTGTCAATTAAGAATGCTTATGAAAATGAGAATATTGAAAATAGATTGGATTAGGTAAGTTAAGCCATGAAAAAAATTGGAGAGATTTACAAGGACGATTTTTATGGTAAAACTCTTGAGGAGATGCTGGTTACACAATCAAAGCAAAGGGATCTATTTAGAACATTTAAAGACTAGAGATTGGTGGATGCATCATTAAGTGACACGATTGCATTGCTTATAGCTGGAGGCAAAGAAAAGGAAAAAGATGTCAAGGAACTTAAAAACACTATGAAGATCCCTGAAAAGTACTACTTCATGATGGCAATTAGAGGGTTTGCCAAGGCCAACAACTGGGATGACTTGTACTACTTTATCAATCACAAGAAACCACCTGTCACCTACTCATTCTTGGCTGAACTTTGTATCGAGTATGGCAAGGTTCCGATGGCTGTGGAGGCTATTAAGAAAATCTCTGATTACGATGAAAAGATACCGATGCTCATAGATATTACTTAGTGGAGGGAAGCTATTGAAGAGTCTTTTAATGGCAAAAGAATGGAGTTCTTAGATGAAATCAGACAAAAGGGACCTGCTTTTGTTGAGGACTTCATCAGAGAAGAAATGGTTAAGAGAGGTACAAAGTGAGATTTCTTAATCCAATGAAGGCTAGATTTCAAAACACTTGATGACCAAAATCTCTAAATAATTCTTGATTTCATAATTCAACCTACCCATTCTATCTTAACTCAGCGGGGTTTTGGGGTTTTGGGGTTTTGGGG